TGGCTAATTTTTGTATTTTTAGTACAGACAGGGTTTTGCCATGTTGGTCAGGCTGGTTTTGAACTTCTGACCTCATGATCCGCCCGTCTCAGCCTCCCAAAATGAGTAGACTTCCTGTCTCCCAATGGACTAGGGGCCCCCTTAGGCTCTTATCTATGGTGACTTCAGCCCCATCCAACCCAGCTCTACTGCCCAGCACACGACCTCAGCATCCCCAGTGAGTGGGAATTGGTTGAGTAAATGAATTCTCACACATGTGCTTCCTTTCAGTCCCACCCACACTAGGCCTGGGGCAGGGATCAGGGGAAGAAGACGCAGGCCTTGCCTCTGAGGTGATTAAATTGGTTATCTATCGCTGTATGACAGATCACTCCAAAACTTGACTGCTTTAAACAACAAATCCCCATCGACTCTCGGTTTCTAGGGGTCAGGTGTCTGGGAATGGCTTGGTGGAGCGGTTCTGGCTCAGGGTTTCTCACGAGATTGCAGCCAGGCTGGGGCTGGGGCTGTGGTCTCTGAAGGCTTGAGTGGGGCTGCAGGATGTGCTTCCAAGCCTATTCGTGTAGCTGCTGGCAGGAGGCCTCTGTTGTCTGCTATGTGGGCCTCTCCACAGTGCTGCCAATGACATGGTTTCTCCCAGAGTGAGTGAGCCAAGAGAAAGAGATAGGCCACACTGCCTTTTACGACCTGGTCTCTGAGTCCCACACCATCAATTCTGCCTTACCCTCCCCGTTAGATGTGAGTCACTAAGTCCAGATCATACTCTGTACAAGGGTGTGAATACCTGGGGGTGGGATCACGAGAGCCAGCTTGGAGACTGGCTGCTGCAGTGATAGTGGATGAGCCTCAGAGGCTAGACTGTGTCACACTGATGCTGCGTGCTTCTGCACAGGACAGCTTGACTTGGAAGACAGAGACTGAGCTGGCCATATAGAGGGGACCCAGAGGGATGGGGGCAAGAGTTTGGGCAAAAGCTGCAGGTAAGAATAATGACTGTAACCCCCAAGCCTGTACCAGGATGGAGTACAAGGTGGTCACTAGACAGAGGGGTGCCAGGACACAAAATAGGGGGTTAGGGAGAGACTTGAGGGGCCAGAGGGAAGAGGTCTCTTCTTTCACAGCAACCTCGGAGGCCTCATGTTGAAGACATCAATAGCACAAGATGGAAGGAGTATAGAGCCCTGATCTCAAAAGAGGGCTGCCCAAGAGAGCCACCCAAGCAGGAATATCCACACTGGACTTTGTGTGTGAAAAAACATGACCTTTCACTGGTTCAAGCCACTGAGACAGGAGTGTGTTTATTACAGCAATTGGCCTCTCCAACTAATGTGCCAGGAGCTATCCACATAAGGACTCAATTGATTTATTTAGCATTTCCTAACAACGCAGGGGCCTCACCCTTGTGTGGGGAAGGCAGCCTCCTCCCGTCTGTACACACACAGATAAGGACAGCAGAGGATGGCAGGACGTGTCAGGCATGGTAAAGAGGGTCAGAGGCCCTCAAGTAATGGGGACAGCTGGAATCTTCTAGAAATCAGCCTGCACTTTGACCTGGGGAGAAGTTCTCAGACATTATTTCCCAAGGGGACAAAGGGCCTGCTGAGGCACAGTCCCTCTGATACTGCTTTATGGTGACTTGGCGAGGGATCTGCCAGCATAGCACAGCCAGCAGCCACATGGCAGGGGTGAGGCTGCCAGTGCAAGTCAGGTCCACTAGCTAAGTCTCAGCTCACAAAGGGACTGTGCTTTGTGAGGGTTCAGAAGCAGGAAGGAGGGAGGAGGTCATCCAGATGGAAGCTGCTGAGTGAGCAAAGACAGAGGGGAGGGAAATTGCAGGACAGACATTGACGACAGCTGCAGTTGTGATACAGGGTGCAAGGGTGAGTGTCAAAGAAAATGCTAGAGGTAGGTCATTTTTTTTTTTTTTTTTTTTTTTTTTTTTTTTTTTTTTTCAGAAAACTTTTATTCAGTCCTTGCTATGTGCCAAGTGCTGGGGACAGAGTGGTGACCAAACTGGATCAGGTCCCTGGCTTTCCCTTGTCTACTGACAGGTGGAAGCCAAATGTCCAGTAAGGAGTCAGGAATTTCTCCCCAAGGTAGGGAGGAGCCCTGGAAGGTCCTTGAGCTGGTGTAGGTCAAGGGCTAGGCCACAAGTGCAAAAAATGCCTTGCATTGAAGTGGGCATTTGTCTTAATGACCTTGTGGAAGGGCAAAGTCAGCATCTCCTAACAACTCTCAGGGGCCCTCAGGGCTGTATTCATTGAGGACCTACTACATTCTAGGCTCTGGATGGGACGCTCTACATGTATTATGTCAATGACACCCACAGTGACCTCTTTATAATAGATGACATTCATTTGTCAGAGAGGTTAAAGGACTTTCTGGAATCCTGGCCCCAAGATGTGGACTGCCTGCCCAGACAGCTATCACATGCTCCTCACATCCTGCTGGGTTCTGACCTCAGACCCAGCAGATTGGCACAATGGAAATGGCAGAGGCTGGAGAGCCAGCCAGGCTGCGGGACCCTGTGCAAGTCAGGTACACTTGCTGAGTCTCAGTTTCTTCACTTGTAAATGGTTTTTCCACAAATGGGTGTTCAATAAATGCCAGTTCGTCCTCCCTCTTTCCCATTATAAATTCCAGAAACAGTTTTTAAAGATCTGTGAGAGTTTACGCCTATCACAAACGAGGATAGGGCATTTCTTAGACTCTAGAGTCCCTTTACTCCCTGCTGGAAAACCAGCCTGAGTGTTTCCCTTTTCAACAGCTAAGCTGGTGCACACCCAGTCACATCCTTAACAAGAGGGTGAAGAGAAAATGATGGTAGGCAGCTCGTTTCTGGCAGCCCCTTTTAAAGCAGACCTTAAAAGAACAAAAAACAGCCACAAACCCCATCCCGATCAATAACATGTCAATAATTAAAGATCAAAAGAGGCTCACCTCTAAAAAAATAAAGTTAAATTGTCAAAAGCCTTCATTTGGGGATGCCCTGTCAATGCTTCTTGAAATGCCTGTGATAGAGGACCAGATTTTTGGTTTTTGCTTTTTTTCCCAATCCTTCATGGACCTATCTATTTTATAAGGCACAATATAAGTTACTAGAAAAATGAGAGAAGAAAACCTAGACATAGTATAACGTTTTATTATTAGTTTCAACAGACATAAAATTACTGTGCCATATTGCTCTGAAGTTTCCTAACAGTTCCACTCCATTTCTGTACTTATTTTGTCAGGAACCAGTAACAAGCTGTTCATGGACGTGCATTGGTCCCCAGACCACACTCGAGTAACACAGCACTGCCCTAGAACTTGTGGCTAACTGCTGGCATTGTAAGATTGTTGCGAGTTAAGAAACACAAAATTAACCAGTGAATTGCAAAGTGCTGTACACTAATTGGTTAGGGATGTCATCTTAGCCACTT